TAGGTGTAAAACTGGTAAAAGCGAACGACATCCCGAATTCGAAATAATTGCAATGTTTCCAGTGGTTTGGAAATGTCATGGGTGATTCCGACTTGAAAGCACTGTGGCTGAATGAGGCTATGGCTAAGTACATGGAGTATATATGCGTTGAAAACATTTTCGCAGGATTGGATAAGGTTGGTGCATTAGGGTGCTCTTTAGTTCCAGAGAACCATATTTATTTTGAATTCTATCTCAGCTTTCAGTATCGTACTCTTTCATTGGGCCACTGACATCTTTCCCATTCGAAAAAAGTCTTGTTATAATACTTATGACTCACCCTTCTCTCTTTCCTTCTCTTCTTCTTCTTCTTCTCTTCTTTTTCTTCCAGCAATAATATTCATTCCCAGTCTTTGTCTGAGGTTTGGTTGTAAACTCGTCTCTTCCCAAGACTGCGCCAGTCATTCCACCTCCGATTAGGAATTGTGAAGGCTACGATTCGGCCAACACAATAATTGCTGGGAACCATTCCACATGGAAATCTGTTTGTACCTTGTCACACTAGTGTGATACCAGTAAGATCATGAGGGCTCTCAGGGTGTGAAAACCCGGAGGAAGGTGTTTGAGGGTACGTAATGTCGAGCCTATACCGAATAGAAGGAGTCATTCTATTTTTTTATGTATATAGGAGCTCTGCTCAAATACTGTTGTGATTTTTCTGGTATTCAGAACAGCCTTCAAACAGTCGACTCGATGGAACAGGCACTGCTCGATGACGCCCGTTCATCATCCCATCCGATGAGTATCGAGGTGGTCAGCCCATCCGGAGTCAGCTTGATGTCCGATGAAATCACAAATGATAAGGTAAGGCTAAATGAGCCGGTTGAGTATAGCACTTTCCTCAAAGGAGGCCGTTCTGAGAAGGATCTCTATCATTCCTTTGAAGAGCCTTTCAAGCTATATATCTCTTCTCTTTGGAAGTTCGAGTGGTCTAACATACTGCACACAAGAAAAGCTGAAGTTTTACAGGGTGCAGCACTGCTCCGTATGTTAAATGCGGTTATCGGAGAGGAAAAATTCCAACGTGGTGTTCAGGTAGATCTTTCCTAGGCCTTTACTTCGTTTTTTCATAGTATTACTAAAATTTTGTTCACTTACTACTGGACAGAATCGTTCTTTCAGGACTTCCTTAAGGCTCATCATGATCACTCGGATACGACCGAAAAGGAGAATTTGTTTGATGCATGGAACAATGTCGTGTTAGATGTTAGAGCTCAGCTCTTCTTGATGGACCTTTTTGAGCAGTGCTCTGAAGGGTTTTCCACCTTCGTGAACATCCGGCTTTTCCCTTATATCACTTTTTTCAGTTGAAATCGTGGGACGGTGAGAAGCTCAATGTTGGTGACTTCATCGACAAATGGATCAAGCAAGTAAGTTTTTTGATTTAAAAGGCAAGCAGTGTCCTTTTCATGTCCAATCAAACGTTTTTCCTTACAATACTCTTGCTAATTTCTCATCCAGAAATTATTATTTAGATGGGCTACCCCGTCGTCGAAGTTTACCGTATCGATCCCCACACCGTCGAAGTGACACAAAGGCGTTTCAAGGTAAGGAGGAGATTTCAAGGAAAATTCATCTATTCACTGAGTTTTAGGAAAATAGCATTCTGAATTAGTTCCAAATGATTGAATGGATGGTTTTCCCTATGAACTTTAAAATTTTTTTCTATGAACTCTGTCTTGAACTATCGCAGAACCCACAGAATTTGTAGGACGTTGCCAACCCCCTCCCCCATGGGGTGGCTTCCTCTGGTGAAGCCTATCTACATGTTCACGGAAACACTACTCATCGCCACGTACCTGGAGCATGGGGGGAGGGTGAATCTCGCTTGACATGTCCTTGGTTTTTAATTGGTGATCATCGGCTCCGGTCGGGCTTTTTCATTTACTCAACGTGGGGAGACCTTATACGAGACAATACAAAACTATACAAAACTACTTTTTTTATTCTACTCTTCTCATCTTCTTATTCATACGATTTCACACAATTTCTGCACCTCTCATGTCACCTACTAAGACAATCGTTTTCACTAGCCACCACTAGTTTACTGTANTCATTGACAATTCATCATTACTATATTTTCTCGACCATTACTCTTTTTCTGGACAGTTTCACATTGCCATTGATGAGTTTCTAAATGTTTCATTCGAAGTCAAGATTTATCTAGGAGTTGAAGAATGGGGGAAAAGTCTATTTCAGTTGGATCACCTCACACCAGAAAAGGCAAAGTACCGGAACGCCCTGTATTGGTACAAATGGGACGTGCCAATTTTCTATCAATTGAATGGAAAACCCCAAGATATGGTGTGGCTTCATGAAGGTATCATTTTCATTCTGTTTCTACTCAAAAGTAGCATAAATTTTGGGTGAAGTTTTCTGGAAGAAAGGTCACAGCAGACTTGCGGTTCACTACCGGGAGTGTATCAATGGTTTTCGAGAAGCCACCATTCAAAATAATTGATTCAACACTAATGTTGCTGCTGATATATGACCAGTGGGGTGTCGAGGAACGGAAAGAGAATGTAAAAATGAGCTGGTAACCGTTGACAGACCGGACAGGCCAGGGCAAAGTTGGATTTCTCCTGCCACTTGCGTCACCAAACATCTAGTTGTCCCTCGCTACTGCAACACCTTGCTGCACTAATTGCGATTACCTTCCATGTGCTTTATTATCAAAGCAAATACTTTTGTTCAATAAGAGTAACAGGCACCCTTTTCAGCCATTCGTCTTCCTCTCAACGTCTCCGACGAGATTCTGATCAATCCCGATTCTCTTGGGTTCTATCGAGTCAACTACGACGATGAAGGTTGGGCTGAAATTGCCCGTCAGTTGGAAGTCGATCACACGGTACCGACAAAATTGAATTCTGTCTAACCACCTA